AAGTACTGTTCTTTACTCTTTGAGAACAAGCAAGACCAGTGCTCTCCCTTGCATTGGCATAAGGGAGAGAGTGGCTACATATCAGAACGAGTCGTTTTATCCAGCGAGTACACTGTGAAATAGTAATTTACTCAAACGAATTAAGGGATGGCATTCGCCTCTTTTCATTCAGATGTGTTGTGATCATTCAAGATTTTGTCTTGGAGCTGCAGTCATCATTGCATTTCCTTCTGAGAGGGTGTTTCATTTCGGAGCTGCATACTTTTTTTCTGTTTTGAAAACGTTTGTAAAATAACGGTCTCACTTTCCTTTTAGTTGTCCTTTGGTATTTGAATGCATATGTGCTCGCCCTTTTTCTTTTTTTAGCGCGCTAAACCACTCTCAAGTTGGCCCTTTTTCCTTAAATCCAGTTTGGTTGGGCGACAGTTTGTCTTTTTACTTGTATTTTGTGATCTCAAGACGCATAATCTTAAAAATCTAGCCGCGTTTCCATTTTGATTGCTTCTACGCCTGTATTTATCTCTTGCTCTATTTTTTCTGCATTAATCACTAACGATTCATTTAATTTTGCATTGGTCTGAAATTCGTCGATTATAATCCGATTCTTTAATGCCCATTCATATGGCCATTTTGAGGGCTATATTTTCAAAGCAACCATTATTTTATCCTACGTAACTCAAAGAATTAATAAGTTGGCTTCTACTGCTGAATGGTCGATCTCTCAGTACTTTATTTGAAAGTAATTTTTGCTTCGCTCTTGATCAGATCCTAGGCCTATTTTTTAACATGTCCTCAAATCTGGTTACCGTACAATTCCTGCATTACTGTTTTTTCACTTGCATTGCAATAAGCTGGCTTTTAGACCAATTTTCTAAAATATTTCCTCTGACGCTGAAAGTTGGAAATATTATGAAGCAGTTTATGTGTGGTGGTTTATTTTTAATTTGATAGAAAAAGCATATAGTCTCTTTTTGTGGAAAGGATTACTTTTTCGCATTGTCAAAGGTTTTGTTTTACCTGGTTCCCGATAGCTCGTTTTAGCATGCTTCGCAATTCAGTGAAATTTGCCTCCCCCTCCCTTTTTTTCACTCTTCAATTCTCATGTTTTCTCTATAGGCGGGCTCACGCTCGGAAGGCCCTTGGCAAATTGGATGAAGCTGTAAGCGATCTGAAACGCATTTTGGATATCGAACCGAGAAATTCCATTGCACTAAAAGACCTCGGTGCCTGGACCGGAGATTCAAATTTGCGCGCTGGTTCCATAAACTCTATCTTCAAGATTGTTGATGTATCGAGAGTTACTTCAAAAGCTTTACGCCCTATCCAAATTTCAGAAGTTGGTGGCACTCGATCAATGTTTCAAGCCAATGGCTGTCGGGAATTGCAACCAATTAACAATTTAACTGTATCAAATGTGCAAGATAGATCGAGCGACACTGCTTTAGCTCCTTGTGTTTCTCCTCAATTGGAAGTGACTCCGACCATGCCACTGGAACCACCTACCAATTGGTTTCAAATGGAACGAGAATTGAGGGAACTGATTCCGTCAAGTGAAAGCCTTGCTCCTCTTGCAGTGGATTATTTGTGCTCCATCGAACCTACAAACTATGCAAGTGTTATTGGAAATAATCTTAATTCTTCGTGTCTTGGTCGTTTCCTAGCAGCCTTTAGCATCAGCTCAAAGTTGACTTCAGCCCAGAAGGCTGAGAGGATGGCAGCTTTGGCTAAACTCCCGAGATTCGATGTGGCCTGGTTGTTAACAGATGACTCCGACCGTACAATTGTTGGGCGACTTCTTCAAGAAGTACCACCCGAAAGCGTAGCCTCCTTGAAAACGTACTTTTCTTAGATTTCCGGTTTTCAGCCTCTGCGCTTCCACTGTACACATATTTCAGATACATTTCTTTACACTCTTGCGATTGCATTTTTAATCTAGTAAAAATGATTCAGTCATTTTTCCACTTGGCTTAGGATGTTTGACTTACGACCGCTATAATTGGGTAGATATTTTTCAAGTCTGGTGCCTGGGAGTGTTGCTATTAGCAATTCTGGTGTTGTTGGTCAATTAACTCTCTGGAAAATGTGATTGACAGTATTGCGAACAATTTATAACAATAATTTCTAGTCAAAAAGGTAATCACCTACCTTGTCAGAGGATCGTGCAGAATTGTACCACAGGGTCATCCGCACTGCTTTTCTGAGAGTCAAGGCTTCGTGATTAATGCCTTTTAGGCTTGACTGCACTTCAACCTAGATATCTTTGCATAAGATGAGTAAAGTGTCGAGACTGGTCGTCTGTTCCACTTCAAATGCGACTTTTTCAATGACGGCGTTGTGGGTGCCCATTGTGGATGTTAAAACACGTGAATCACGAGAGGCAGGCATCTTGCCGTTCTCTTTGCAATAACGTGACACGTTTGTGCACGCGCTTCCCCATCTTCCCTCCGGTCATATGTTGACATACCTCGCAGGCGTGGTGAAGAAACCATGACTCGCTTCTGAGGCTTATTTCTGTCGGAAAGTTTGTTGTTCCTGCGGCTTTGAGGCGCTAATATTTTCACCCAGCTGTTTGGTTGTGATTCATCGTCTCTCCTTGTACAAGGGGTGTTTATGGCTTTAAAAAACTCGAACTTCGGTCAATCTTTCAGTGGTTCTCTTCGCCTGCCTCGATTGAACAAAAAGATGGAGCCGAATTTACTACCTTGCATTTCATATGGCGTGGTTTCTCTGTAGCCCATCTCTGTGCTGAGATTAGGCCTTCACACAGTTGTGCTTAGAGTCGTAGCCCTTCATGTAAACCCAACTTCGGTAGAGCTCTTAGGTGCCTACTGGTGATTGGGATTGTACGCCATCGATTTGGCTTTTAAAATTTGTAGCTTGCGCTTTGGAAACCCTTTTTCCCTTCACATTAGTACCACTTTCAACCATTTTCATAAAAATTTGTGAAACCGTTTTTCTCTTGTATATTTTTTAACAATGTAATTATAAAATGACTTTAGTGCCTTGTTTCAAAAACGTGGACACGATGTACAAACGTGATTCATATTGCCTTGCTTTCTGAGATGCCTCGAAACAATCCAAACACAAAGTGGCGAAAATCGTTCTTTCGATGAATTGGGCATGCAGTTGGTGTGTTTTGAGTAAGGCAACTTGTTGAATGCGGTAGGGTGGTCCCACTAGTAGACTTGGACTTCACAGAGCGCCGCGAGGTAGTCCTTGGGCCAAGTGGTCATCAAGCCGTAGGCTTCAACGATGACGTAACGTCCCGTCGTGGGTCGGTGACATGTGATGTGTAGTTTGGGTGCAAAGACGGCATCATTCAAGCGGGTCACGTGGCCACAGAGCTGTCGCCCACCCGGTACAGACTCGCCCTCCACGTACACGGCTACCCGCTCAAGATTGTTCATGCGTACCACAAGCTCCGATATGCCTTGCAAGCTTTGCACTATCAACTTGCGGTAGGCTTCCGCTATTGAAATAATTGTACCAGCATTACGCTCTAGAAACGGTGAAGCTGCATATCAAATGTTGGATTACCTTTACTGACTTAGTAATTCACGCTTTACTTTACGGGATGTTGTACCCTTGTGCCGTGTTTATGTCGAATGTTTAACTGTCTCCCAATATCGAAGGCATGTGATAGAAATACCAAGCCAAATTCGCTTATCACCACAGTGAGGAGGGTGTAGAAGTGACGCGTTCATATGGTACGTACAACAAAATGTTGCTCAAATATCGGTGGACTACTCCGTTCATTTATGGAGACGCATCCAGCTGTTAGTCAATAGTTTTTGCGCTTGCCCACTTATTTACACACTTGCAATACGAAAATGAAGAAACTGAACGCTAAGTCTTAGATAACTTTGAAATGTTAAATGAACTAGCCCAATCGTCGAGTTCAGAGATGTTTTCGACATCAAACGACTCCACTCGAGGTCCTAATGCATAAATTTGTCTCAAAAATTAGTTTTGAAGCAATCAACAAATCCAATTTATGTTCAGCTTACATTTTCCGTGTCCGCCAGTATAGAGAATAACACCTTGAACTTCTTGTGGTTCTTGTAGGTCTACGTACCAGCTAGGCGTTTCTTGGAAGGGCCACGTGTATCGCAGAATGGTGCACTGATGGAGCTGTGGCTCCACCACCGAGACAGAGCGCAAAGCTCGCTTGCTGTTGACTCTGAAGGGCGAGTCTTTCAACAATGTTTCATGTTGATTTATGAACTGTCTCTCCTCCCTATCTTCCTCCAGACCAGTGAAGCCGTCGATGGCGCGCATTGCTGCTTCGTCTTTGGCGACATACCCCTCGTCACCCAGCATCACGTCATGAAGACTCCAATCATTAATTGGTGTGGTTGGCGAAATGGGTTTGGGAGTAGCGTCTAGGAAAAAGGCTGAAGTACGCGCTGGAGTAGTCTGAGACGACATAGGTGAGGTAGGTGGTAGAAATGAGTAGACCGGGGTGAATGGATCCTGAGGTACCGAATTGTATGGCACTGGGGACGACACGGAGAATTTGCGCCTCGGATTTTCCGGATTGCTTGACATCCACGCGTCCTTCTTATACGCCAAGTTAGGAACTCGACGTAAATAATGCAATTTTACATGGATCACTTAATCAGAACCAGATATTTCTACCTAGTAGACTTAAGCAGCAAAGGCTACAGTGAAGGTATTCGCTTACATATGGTTAGTTAGTTACTTTGCAACTACGTAAAATGGGCTTTTGGACAGTGAATGTCGAAATTTAAAGATCAGTTGCTGTTTGTGCTGAAGGGCAGCGCATTGAAACGTTGTTTCAGCTATCGAATTTGGAGTTCAAGTCATCTCTGCATAAGATTTAATGCGTTAGAGTTCAATACGCAACAGGTCTTTCGTCTTAGGAGCGACATGATCAAGTGTGTATAGTTACTGAGTTGTTGAACTTCGCTTCCATTTGGTATATTGATTGTGCGAAATATGAGTGTTATATTAGAAGCAGACACATCTTGTCGGCAACTGACTTGGTCACGTAGGCGCTGTTATTTGCGCTAACACATGTATAGGCGGAAGAGTAGACAACTCACTACAGGAGCTTTTATCGTTGATGCGGAAGAAACCAGGTCCGCACTTGCCGTGGTGGCGGCAACCCAACAATCCGACGCGCATTGCGATGCGGCCCCGCCAGCTGATTGGGTGGATGCGGACGTAGCGCGCCACCACCGGCGTCACAAGGTAGTGCACACGTTCCGTCAGAGTTTGCGTGTTGCCCGTGAACACCTTTACGTGGGAGAGTAAAACATTCTTCGTTCCCACAGTCAACAATGAATTTTGGACATCATATTTAACCTCGAGTCAAGGCAGGGGTTAAATAGGAAATCCCGTCATCACACAATATCACACTAATTGAGTGAAAAAGCCTCAAGATGTTATAAACTAATTGTGATTTCCTAGTAAAAATGTGGATGTTTTTCTGAAAATATGGCCTAGCCATCCAAAATGCATGTTCACGTGGGTGGTCACACGAGCAATACCGAGAATGAATCTATTCGTCACGCAAGTGTTTGGGATTAATCTATGGTTATTGCTGGCGAGGGAGGCGTAAGGCGGTCACACACGTGTATTGACCAAGAATTAATAACTTTCCTGCACCCTATAATGTATCTATACCGTATTTTGACGTTCGTAATGGATGTTAAACCACAATTGCAGTTTGGATTTCCATTTTTTTACCTTCATCATCAAAGTGTTTCATCAGATTTCTTTACAACAGTGTCACAAAATAGGCAGTCGTTTCACTAAACTGGAGTGTTAGTGCGTAAAGTGGGTTGGACGTACGCGCTGGTCGAGATGTGCGGCCTCCTTGTAGAAGAACCACAGCAGGCTGTCATTGCTGTAGGACAATTTGAAAAGTGTTACATATTGTTGCCACTTGCTATCCCCGCGCGGTCTCAGAATAATGCCAGTAATGAGGGTCGGTGGACCCAGATCGATTTGGTACCACTGCATACCTGACAAGCAAATAGGGCATGGAATCAACGAGTTTTGTCACCTTCAATACAATGTTGCTAATTTGCTTGATGGACTAAATTCTCATTTTTTTGAATTTCATAGTCCATTCTCGTTGTGAATTTAGTTGGAAAAGGTTGAGGAGGTTGTTTTACTCATATCAGGGGCAACCGCCAACTTCCTGTTAGGCGCATGGAAGAGGAATGACAACTGACCATTTTGACGTTTTGCGCACCATGCTTTGTTACTGAAGTAGTGTCCGTCTTCCGCGGTACAAGTTTTCCCATGCTTCTTGCTACGAGTTGTAGAGGCACCGTAGCGTGCGTATGGTGGAGTTCCGAGTAATTGTCGACAAGCTGGAAATAAGATGCAGCGCGTTAAAAGTTCCTTCCTTCATAATGGGGTCAACATAGTGTGGAACTCACGCTGACACCCGATGAGTTCAACTCTAAGACTTGGATGTCGATTCCATGTGAATGGATAAATACGAACAAAGCGAGTGATCACAGCCTCATCCAGGTACGTGTGCTTTGCTTGGTACGAGTCCACGTTCCCCTCAAAAATCTGATTCGAAAACCATTTACTATAAATAATTGTACAACTTCCTCCACACAACAGGCTGGATTGAACAATTGGATCTCCAGATATATCTGAATTGACATCTTTAGAAAAGGAGGAAATGAATAATATTACACACCAATAAACTTTGGATAGGCGCATCATCTGGATGACGGCCACGCATTTTACGAAGATGTACTTCCCTGAAGGTAACTTAATGTGTTGCTTTTATGTGAGCATGTAAGTGGTGAAATTAGGTCCCAACGGATCGTGCGTTGGCCGATGGCTGCAGCGTGTACGAACTGCAATGGACGAAGTAAATGCTGCCATGTGTAAGGAATAAATCGGCGAAAATGTGGGAGAATGTCAACACCTGTTTTTTTATTTTTGACAGCCTCTGATCAATGTTAGTTATGTGGCCCGAATTTTCCCTGACCATTTATTCAGTATGTGAATTGCAGGAAGTTCACCTGACAAAACTTCTTTCATTGAGAAAAACGATTTGATGTATGTGGGTATATATCGGACTGCACATATTAGTGATGGGTGACAGGTGACAGGCGACTATTTTTAGTAGGCAATTATGATTTTGCTCACTCAGTGGGCGAAAGTATTTCGTTAGTGTAGATGCTAATAATACTTATGGATAATCTCAAATCCTCACGTTAAGAGGCCTAACAATTCGTTGTGTTTTTGGAATATGAGATATCATATTTTTATCCGAAATTCCATCTGCAGTCTCATCAACATGCTCCAGGTTTTTTTCCTTTGCTCCAAACTATTAAAGTGGTCATTAGTAAGCTGTATTACTTTATCCGAGTCCCATTCAAACCCACCACCTTACCTTTTGATTGTGGTAGAGGTCGTTAGCAAATCTCCAGAAGACTCCATCATCGCTAAAAGAGAGAGTGTACGAAGCCACCCATTCATCTCCATCTCCGCGTCCTTGCAAAAGCACTCCAGTGATCTAAAGTTCGAAAATTAACGCTAGAGAAAAAAGAACCTCATTTCTAGTGACTTGCATCACATTCTCACAAACTTTGTTGAAATGAGGCAATGAGGTTGTGCTCCAAAAGTCATGCGGACAGGAGCGCTCATTCAGCCTCCACTCGCGCCCGAGGCATGTACATACCGCGCCGGTGGCAGCCTCAACGATTCCTATGCTTTAAGTTACCCATCTACGTCCTATAACAATCGTAGCGACCCATCAACAAAGTTTTACTTCAAATCAAATTTTACATCTCCTACGTAAACAGTAATTAATTCAATATTAGATCTGTCATGATTTTAAACAAAATTGGCCCCATCTCTTCAGCTGTGGATG